AAGACGAGGAAGGAATTCAATGACGCTGATCGAAAGGCCATAGAAAAGAACTTTCGTGCAAAGAAAATTCTTGTTTGTGGCATTGGTCCTGATGAACATAACAGGATATCAGCATGCCAATCTGCAAAAGAAATCTGGGAGGCTCTTGAGACATCTCACGAAGGAACAACACAGGTTAAGCAATCCAAGATCCACATGCTCACAACTGAGTACGAGCTCTTCAGGATGAAAGATGATGAATCCATCCAAGATATGCACACTTGCTTCACCTCCATAATTAATGAGCTTCACTCTCTTGGTGAAATTATTCCAAGAAATAAGCTTGTAAGGAAAATCCTTAGTGTTCTGCCCAGTTCTTGGGAAAGCAAAGTGAATGCCATTACAGAGGCGAAGGACTTGCAGACACTGACCATAGATGAACTTGTTGGCAATCTAAAAACATATGAAATGAAGAAGAAGAAGAAGAAGAAGGACAATGAAAGAAGAAAACCCAACAGGAGAAGAACATGGTCCTCAAGACAGACAGCAATGATTCAAGTGGTGAGGATGGCGATATGGCTTACTTGACAAGAAGATTCCAGAAGATGGTTCGCAGGAATGGAGGCATTCCAAAAAGGGGAAGTTATAGCAAGCCAAAAAATTATGACCTCTATCATAAATGTGGCAAGCCAGGACACTTCATCAAGGAGTGCCATCTCTTAAAGCAAGATCAGTACAAAAACAACTTTGACAAAGTAAACAAGAGGAACCCGATTCTTGATAAACGCTTCAAGAGAAAGAATGCAGCTGACCATGTTATAAAGCGAGCTCTTGCTGCATGGGGAGACTCCTCCAGCGAATCTGAAGAAGAAAATGATCATGGTGATAGTTCAATGATGGCAGTAGAAAGTGAAGCAACTGAGTATGACTCAATCTTTGCCTTGATGGCTCAGTCTGATGATGATGAAGATTACGACGATGATGAGGTAAATTTTCTGGATGTTCGGAGAAATCTGAAATTTTATTCTCCTAAAAAACTCATGTCTTTGGAAAATGTGTTAATTGATGCCTATCACAGTCTTATAAATGATAATTATGCTTTAACTGTGGAGTTAGGAGAATCAGAACAAACTAGAGATGAGTTAGTAATCGTGGTTGTTGACTTAAAGGAAACAATTGAGAACCTGAAGAAAGAGAAGGATGCCTTAGATGAAAAAATTGCAAATATAGAACATGAAAGAGATGATCTAATGGTCGCTGTGGTAGACCTAAAAGAGACCTGTGAGTGTGTAAGAAAGGAAAAAGAAATCTTAGATTAGAGAGTTACTAACATTGAGCATGAGAGTGATGACCTATTAGTGGTGGTAGTGGACTTGAAGGAAACAATTGGAGAACCTAAAATAGAGAGTAGGCCTGAAAATTCTCAAAAGGGAAAGGAAGTTGCAAGCGAGGCACACATTAAGCTTGAAAGTGAGTTAAATTCAATGAAGTCTAGTCTGTGTGCTGAGCTTGAGAAAAACAAATAACTTCATGAAGAATTAGGAAGAGTGAAGAGTGATCTTGAAAAATCACTCAAGTGGACCTGGCCCTCTGATGCTATCACTGCCATGTACACCAACAATGGGGGAAACAGACAGAGGATTGGGTTCCAAAGGGAAAAGATTCCCTATAACCTTCATAGCAAGTATGTTACTGTACCCGATAATTGGATTTGCACCCACTGTGGAAACACTGGGCACTTTAAAGAAAACTATAAGACCAGATTTCAGTCACAACAGAAAAATATAGTTTTTGCTGAGAAAGTAACTACTGGTAGGGAACCTGGTCCCTCATATAAAAAATGCATGATGCCTGCTTGGACCAGAAGATCCCTCATTCACCTCTTTCCTAATTTTAAGGGACCCAAACCCGTTTGGGTCCTAAGTCTGACTCATAATTCTCCTGTGCAGGGAACAGTAAAGGAAAGCAGCACACAGTGGTACATGGATTGTGGCTTCTCAAAGCACATAACTGGAAGTATAACTGATTTCCTTTCATTTAAAGCCCTGCAAAGAGGGAGTGTATCCTTTGGTAATGGCAAGAAAGGATACATTCTGGGACTTAGAAGGATTGGGAAGTCTCTCTCACACTCAATCGAAAATGTGTTTCCTAGACCTGTGACAAGGGAAACAAGGTGGAATTTGTGTCACAAGTATGTACAGTCACAAACATAGTGACTAGTGAGGTGGTGCTAGTAGCAAAAAGATACAAAAATATCTATGTTGCTGATTTTGAGTCTCTGTAGATTGGTGATCTCAACTATCTAAGTGCTATTAAACGATGATGCTGAATTATGGCATAGGAGGCTGGGTCATGCAAGCTTCACGTTGCTAAACAAATTGGTCAGGAAGGACCTGGTTCGTGGTCTGCCCAAGTCAAGTTTCAAGAATCACAAAGTGTGTGATGCAAGTGTAAAAGGTAAGCAAGTCAGATCTTCATTCAAGCCCAAAAGGGAAGTCAGTACCTCAAAGTCACTTAATCTTCTTCACATGGATCTATGTGGACTCATGAGGGTGGCAAGCAGGGGAGGAAAGAAATATATTTTCGTTATAGTCGATGATTACTCCAGATTCACCTGGACCCTGTTTCTCAGAACCAAGGACGAAACCTTTGAAGTGTTTGTTGCTTTCGTCAAAAGGATTCAAGTAAAGATGGGTAATAATGTAGCATGCATCGGGTCTGATCATGGGATAGAGTTCGACAATGCCAAATTTGATGAGTTCTGTACTGAAAATGGTATCACTAACAATTTTTTGCCTCTTAGAACACCTCAACAAAATGGTATTGTGGAGAGAAAAAATAGAACTCTTGAAGACATGGCAAGGACAATGTTGATTGACAGTGGGATCACAAAGAATTTCTGGGAAGAAACTGTCAATACTGCTTGCTACTTGATGAACAGGTGCATGATTAGGTCCCTTCTGAATAAGAATCCATATGAACTACTGAATGGAAGGAAGCCCAAGCTGACACATCTAAGGACCTTTGGGTGTAAATATTTTTTCCTCAATAATGGAAAGGAAGCTCTTGGAATATTCGAAATCAAGAGTTGCATTTGGGTCAGGAGCACATTAAGGGAAATATCCTTGAGGTAGTCATATAAACCTCCCGAGCATGCAGGAGTTTCCAGGTAATAATGCCTGAGCGATTTGCAGAAGTATCATTGAACGTCGCCCGTCACATATCTGCATACTTAAAGAGGATAAACCGCAATATTGGGGTCAGCCATAGGAATAAGTGCCTTTACTACAGTAATGCCGGTGGATTCTCCTGTAGAGATCAGAGTCTTCTTTTAGTTGGAAGTCCACTTTGATTGTTCTTTTGTTGTCTTTGAGTCTGTAAAAGTCTTTTGGTGTTTTGAGTCTTATTATTTTTCCTTTTATCTTAAAAGGTCTGTTTAAGTTAAGTCTGGTCTTGTTTAAATGTTTGTCTTTATGTAAATATTGTTTTTGAGTCTTGTATCAAATTGGTCATGTCCTTGAACTATGTAATGACCTGATGACATGATACGTAGGCAACCTCCAAAAGGTTCGATCGAAATATTTTTCAATGTCTCTAAAATGAGGGATAAAAATGAGGTGAGTGAAAAGAAAAGCGAAAGAGAGAGAGAGAGAGAGAGGAAAAAATAAAAGCGCCAATAAGCATCAACCTTATAAGCCGGAATGAAACATGAAGCCTCCAAAAGCATGTTAGAAATGGTGATAATGTTAGGAGCATGGCATATTACTTGTGATTCATATCTATAAAATGCCTAACCCTAACACGTTTGTTGTCTCTTTTATAGTAAACTTAAGATGGTTAGTTTGTGGTAAAAACTGGCAACACGTCATTACTTTACCAGATCTAAGGGAAAGGTAGCAATGACTAACAATGATAAAATTGAGTTGGTCACTAATGACCCCCAAGGTCAGTCAGTTGAGAAAGAGTCGGTGGAAGTAAGAAGATTGAAACAACAACTGTCTAATGTGTATCAGGCGTGGGTCTTCGGGCAGCCTCCGCCTTAGGGTCCCTCAAAGGGAACTGCCACCGTACCCCTGGCTACTCAACCACCACTCTATGCAGCGAGCGATCATATCTAACACCAAGGTATGTGCGAAATTACAGCTTCCCTGTTGCCCCTGGTACCTCTAATGTGCGACCTCCAGCCGCACCAGCCAGGAACACCCCTTCGTCATATCTGGCGTGCCGGTATATACAATCCCGCCACGACCTCCTATGACGAGGCCAAACAATAAGACACCATCTTATGCTTATGATGGCCATTACTACTTTCCAAATATGGCTTTCAGGGTCTCGACTCCATATAATCAGACTCCTCAATATGAGTCACCAGAAGAAACTGAAAAGGCTGCCAAGACGAGTAAGCCAGATGAGATGGCTAGAAAAGTGAAAAGTCTTGAGCAGAACATAAAGAACATTCAAGGACTAGGTGGTCACAAAAGTGTTTCATTCAGTGATCTATGCATGTTCCCTCCCATCCATTTTCCACCAGGGTTCAAGACCCCAAATATTGAGAAATATAATGGACACGGCCAGCTGAGGGGTGCAGGAGGAAAAGAAGAATTGTTGATGGCTTATTTTGACGAAAGTCTGATGGGGGTTGCCTATGAATGGTTCATTGACCAAGATATCTCCCACTGGCAGGTGTGGGATGACATGGCTCAGGCATTCATCAAACAACTTTAGTACAACATTGATATTGCGCCAGATCGCAATTCCCTATCCAATATGAAGAAAAAGCCGACTGAAAGCTTTAGGGAGTATGCCATCAAATGGAGGGAGCAAGCGGCTAGAGTTAAGCCAACCATGGATAACCATGAGTTGCTCACTATTTTTCTGGAGGCTCAAGATCACGATTATTTCCAAAACATGATGTCTACAATGGGAAGCGATCAAGATAGGGAAAATTGTTGAAAATGGCCTCAAGACTAGCAGAATTATAAGGCATGCTGCCCTCAAAACTACCACCCAAGCAATCCAAAATGGGTCGGAAAGTTTGGCAAAATAGAAAGAAGAGAGATGAAGGGTCCATGATGACTTCAGGGTCTAGAGAAGTTCAAAGAGGGGCATCACACCCTTATATGCAAGTTCAGCAGGGGCAGTCTAGCTACCCTCAACATTACTATCCTCCACCAATTCCTGAATATTCTATGGGCCCACCACAATACACAATGTTTAATGCCCGAGCTTATGGTCGGCCTCCCAATCAACTGTTACCGGTGCCATCTCCAAGGATTTCCCGACCTCAGCAGCAAATTTTTTTGGCACCCTAAAATGCTTACCCCAGGAAGGATTATGGTCGAGAGTAGAGGCCGGTGGAAACTTTCACTCTATTGGCTGAATCATACTCTACTCTGTTCCAAAAGTTGAAGCATATGGGCATGATTGGACCGATTGCTCCCCACCACATACATCCCGATACACATGGCTTTCAATCAAATGCTAGATGTGAATATCATTCAGGTGCCCCGGGGCATAGCACTGATGACTATTGGACTCTGAATAAAGCCATAGAAAGACTCATAGCTGAAAAGTTGATTGTGGTGACAAATGACGAGAACCCTCCTAATGTGACAAATAACCCATTGCCAGCACACAATGATGTTCATTTTGAGGGAATAATTGGCCGAGATCATGAATACAAGCAGGTTGGTCGAGCATAAATGACAGTGGGAACGATTTAAGAAGGAATAAGACTGGAAGTAAGTCCAAGCCGAGATGTGTCGTTGATTGTGAAAGGCGCCCAGAGCACAGAGAAGGCAACTTTATTTGTTCCAAAAATCTCGAGGTTGGAAGTCCGCTCCAGTGTTCCAAGCCAAAGGTTGTAGTCCTAGGAGGCCACCCCATCATGCAGAATCAAGGTGGTACAAAAGGTATAACAGAGCCGATCCTAATCAAACTCGCCATGCAACCCCGTTTGAAAAGCACCAAAACCATTCCTTCAAACTACAACAAAATTGTGGTGACCTACAAAGGCAAGGAAATCATAGAAGAAGTGGGGGAAGTTGGAGATTTGACTCGATCGGGTAGGTGTTACTCTCCAGAAGATTTGAGAAAGGCAAAGCAAATTAGAGAAGGCCAAATGCCAATAAAGAAACTAGTCATTGAAGAAGAGGCGGAAAAGTTTTTGAAAAAGACGAAAGTTCAGGATTACTCAATCGTTGATCAGTTGAGAAAGACTCCTGCTCAAATCTCTCTGCTATCTCTACTCATACATTCAAAAGAGCATGCCCGTGTAGTAATTAAGATCCTGAACGAGGTACATGTCTTAGAGAAGACCACAGTGAATCAGTTTACTGAGGTAAACAAAATCACCTTTACTGATGATGAACTCCCCGAGGAGGGAGCAGGGCACAATATGGCTTTGCACCTGACTGTCAAATATGGAGGGCATTATGTAAAGCGTGTCATGGTTGATGGAGGCTCGAGCGTAGATGTATTCCCTCTCTCTACCTTGTAACGTATGAAGATCAATATAGATAGAATCCAACCCAGCAATATTCGCATCCGGGCTTTTGATGGCTCAGCGAGAGATACCATTGGGGAAATTAGCCTCACCATGACAATTGGGCCAGTTGATTTTGAAATTGTATTCTAAGTAGTGGACATGGAAAATTCTTATAACTTTCTTCTTGGAAGGCCATGGAACCATATGGCTCGAGGAGTTCCATCCACTTTGCATCAGATGCTCAAGTTCCAGCATGACAGGCAAGAAATTATTATTCACGGAGAAGATGAGTCATCCATTTATAAATACTTGTTAATCTCGTGTATTGAGGCCAAGGAAGGGAGTGAGTCCATTGTCTATTAGGCTTTCGAAGTGGTTGTTGTGGACCATGTTGAGGAAGTAAGGCCCATTTTGCATTCTCGTCTTTCCGCCACATCTGTAATGGTGGCTGCACTTATGCTGAGACATGGTTATGAGCTAGGAAAAGGCTTGGGGGCATAACTGTAAGGAATTTCGAAACCCATTTGTCCCTTTGGTAACAAGGGTAGTTTTGGCTTTGGCTTCAAGCCAAGATAAGCAGATGAAGACAAATCCAAGCACCGTAAAAGGCATGGGTGGGTCTTGCAGAAATCATTCCCTCACATTTTCTACACTTTTGTCAAGCCACNAGAATGTAAATAAGACATGATAAAGTAAACGGTACGATGAAGACTCTGTGGGCTACGATACATAACTTGCAATGTAGTTCACCATAAAGTCTCCTCAGTAGTTGCGCCTACACGCCAAAATAACCATCATTTGAACCTGTCAGATCCTACACATTTAGTGCAGAAGTGTAGCATGAATACGTAAATAAACGCATACTCAGTAAGTATCTAGCATAACTCAGGAGAAGTAGTAACGAGGGGTTAACATCGACACTTTACTAGAGGTCCAACAAAGCAATATAATAAATCATAAGCAGATGTGAAGTTACCTGATCTTCCAAATATTTCTTTTAAAGTATGAATTCTCAGTCTTGTATTCTACCTCAATAACTCAGATGTATCATGTGCCAGTAACAAACGGATAAGAAGTACCATATAAAATGTTGGGCATCAGTAGAAAGATAATCTCGTGAATATTCGGATTGCCAGGAATATAACGCACGATTATGCCGAGGTTGTTCGGCCCGATCCGGAACACTATCGAGGGTCAAACGGCACGAACCATAGATGCATCTATTATACTGCCGAGGATTTTGGCCCTCTCCACAAGAAAGGAAGGAAATGATTGAGTTACGAGACACATGCTTACAATACAGTACGTGAGCACAAAGTGAATAAAACCTTTACCGTTTCTCAAATAACTTGCCAACAACTCAAGGGATAAGGCTCAACCTTATATATATATATGACATGATAAAGTCCTAAGTATACCCGAACATAAATATGTTTTAGCTACGTACGGACTCTTGTCACCCCGTGCATACATAACAATTACATCACCAAAGTTCCATAACCGGCTCCAATGCCTCTTTAACTTCTCGACTCAAAGCCAAACGATCCGAAATTAGTCAAACAATGTGCAATTCAATCAAGATATACTCCAATGCTTATAATTAATCAATTTATAACAATTCCCAACTCCGCTAGAAAAGTCAATAAAGTCAACCCTTGGGCCCACGACATTACGAACTCAAATATATGATTTATTCCAAATTCTATTTGTCCAACTTCGTGGTCAAAATCCAACAATACCAAATTCTAGGTTTTCTACCACAATTTCTCCCCTCCAAGAGCTCTAAGAATCGCCCAACCAAATGCAAAATGTGAGAGAAATGGGCTATGTTTCGAATTAAAAGCACCTTACTGCCCAACGATTTCGCACCTGCGGCCGCATAGTGGCACCTGCGACTCCGCACCTATGGACAAATCCATCGCAGGTGCAGTTCCATTCTAAGCCCAGGCAAATCCTCTTTTGCGGACTAAATTCTGCTTGTGCGGTCATGCTTCTGGGGAGCACTGACCGCTCCTGCAATCCCACGTCTGCGGCGCACGACCGCACCTACGGTCCAGTTGCAAAGGCCCAGATTCCGCCTCTACTGCACCTTCTCCGTTTCTGCGGATGCACGTATACGCACCCAAACTCCGCACCTGCGACCCTTCCCCTGGCTGGCCTTCTTTGCTTTTGCGATGACCTTCCTCACTCCTGTATGTCCGCATCTTCGTCCAAACCCTCCGCAGGTGCGATGACCCCAGAACTTCAGCAACTCCAGCAATCACCTAAAATCCAACATTGATCCGATTCAAACTCGGGGCCCCCAAGACCCCGTCCGAACATACCAACAAGTCCCAAAACACATGGCAAACCTACTCGAGGCCTAAAATCACATCAACAACATCAAATCTTACGAATCAACGGCCAAAACCTTTCTTTAAATTTTCAAACCTTCAAACTATGACGAACGCGTCCGAATCCTATCAAAACATTTCGGAATGATGCCAAACTTTGCGTACAAGTCATAAATCATGATACGAACCTATTTAAAGTCTCAGAATCCCAAACGGCCATCGATAACACCAAAGTCCACTTCAAACCAAACTTAGAAAATTTTAAAACCTTCAAAATGTCAACTTTTAACAATAAGCGCTGAAATGCTCCTGGGCGACCCGATACTCAACCCGAACATACGCCTAAATCTGAAATCATCACACCAACCTATTGGAACCTTCAAGTCCCGATTCCGAGGTCGTTTACTTAAAATTCAAACCTTAGTCAACTCTTCCAACTTTAAGCTTCTGAAATGAGAATGTTTCCATCCGAATCAACTCCGAACTTCCTGAAATTCAATTCCAACCACACGTACAAGTCATAGAACATGAAGAGAAGCTACTCTGGGCCTCAAACTGCTGAATGACGCACTAGAGCTCAAAACGACCGATCGGGTCATTACATTCTCCCCCACTTAAACATGTGTTCGTCCTCGAATGTGCCAAGAATTGTTTCATAGTGGTCCAAAATCACTATTTGACACCTCGTGCACCTACTCGTGCCACTACAACCCATGTGATCACATTAGCTCAAACCAGACTGAAGACCCTTCCTACTACCTTAGCCCACAAGACTTAGAACCAAATTCCAACCCGAAATTCTCTACGACATCACCTAGGAGTAGTTTCCCCCTCTTAGACAGGAGACTTACCTCGCTCTGAAGTTCCATAACCGGCTCCAATACCTCTTTAAGTTCTCGACTCAAAGCCAAACGATCTGGAACTAGTCAAACAATGTGCAATTCAATCAAAATATACCCCAATGCTTATAATTAATCAATTTATAACAATTCCCAAGTCCGCTGGAAAATTCAATAAAGTCAACCCTTGGACCCACGTGCCCGGATTCTGAAACTTTACAAAGATAAACTTTACTCATGACTCCATGAACTCAAATATAGAATATATGTATTTAACTTTTAGGTTTTCTACCAAAATCCCACAATTTCTACTAATTATGTTTCCTGTTTAAATCCTTATAGAATCTATGTATTTAACTTAAAACAAGTGGGAATAACTTACCTCAAAATAGATGATGAAAATCACCCCTCCAAGAGCTCCAAGAATCGCCCAACCAAATGCAAAATGTGAAAGCAATGGGCTAAGTCTCGAATTAAAAGCACCCCACTGCTCAGTGATTTCGCACATGCGGCCAGACTATCGCACCTGCGACTCCGCACCTGCGGACAAATCCATCACAAGTGTGGTTCCCTTCTAAGCCCAGGAAAATCCTATTCTAGGGACAAAATCTGCTCCTGCGGTCATGCTTCTGCGGAGCACTGACCGCTCCTGCGAGCCCACGTCTGTGGCGCACGACCGCACCTGTGGTCCAGTAGCAAAGGCCTAGATTCCACATCTGTGGCGCCTTCTCCGCTTCTGCGGATGCGCATCTGCGCGCCCAAACTCTACACTTGTGACCCTACCCCTAGCTGGCCTTCTTCACTTCTGCGATGACCTCCATCGCTCTTGCGTGTCCACACCTGCGGCCAAACCCCCCGCAGGTGCGATGACACCAGAACTTCAGCAGCTCCAGCAATTACCTAAATCCAACATTGATCCGATTTCAATCCGATTCAAATACGGGACCCCCGGGACCCCGCTCAAATATACCAACAAGTCCCAAAGTACATGGTGAACGTACTCGAGGCGTAAAATCACATCAAAAACATCAAATCTTACGAATTGACGGCCATTTCTTTAAATTTTCAAACCTCCAAACTTCGGCGAACGCGTCCGAATCCTATCAAACCATTTCGGAATGACGCCAAACTTTGCGTACAAGTCATAAATCATGATACGAACCTATTTCAAGGCTCGAAATCCCAAACGGACATTGATAACACTCGGGGGACCCGATACTCAACACAAACATATGCCTAACTCTGAAATCATCATACGAGTCTATTGGAACCTTCAAATCCTGATTTTGAGGTCCTTTACTCAAAAGTCAAACCTTAATGATCTCTTCCAACTTTAAGCTTCTGAAATGACAAGTTTTCCATCTGAATCAACTACGAACTTCCCGAAATTCCATTTCAACCATGCGTACAAGTCATAGAACATGAAGAGAAGCTACCCAGGGCCTCAAATTGCTGAACGATGCACTAGAGCTCAAAATGATCGATCGGGTCGTTACAATAACTTTCCTTTACCAAACATCCACATATTTGTAGATAATTACGCAAAGCATGAGATATAATCTTTNATGCCGGATACCACCAGATTCTAATAGATGAGGATGATGCAGAAAAGGCTGCTTTCACCACTCTATGGGGTATGTATTGTCACATGGACATACCATTCTGGTTGAAGAATGCAACGATAACTTACATGAGGGACATGACCACCATTTTCATGGCATTATGCATAAAGAGATTGAAGTATATGTCGATGATGTCATCATAAAGTCAAATATAGAGGTTGATCAAGTGTGCGATTTGAGAAAGTTCTTCGAACGGCTGCGAAGGTATAACCTTAAAC